TATAATTGTAAGAACTTGAAGAGGAGAAATGATTGTGAAAAGAATATTCTTCGTTCAGATTGAATTTTAATTCATGTGATATAGGAATATTTCATACTATTCATTTTATTAATTATGCAACAGGTTTGGAAAAAATAGAAGTCTAATTTATGCGTTCAGAAGAATTTTTTGCAGACACTTTCCCTACCTTAGCTGTCAATGTCTGAACTATCATTAATTATTGCAAAAATTTTCTAGAATTGATTTGTAAGGATTAGATTTATTTTTTGAGTTTGACCACGGAGGATTGTTACCAGCCAGAGTACCAACGTAAACCACCAGTGAGTACTGGACAGGTGTTTCCTTCTAATTTGGGAATCATCGGCAGTACGCAAACACTGCCAGGGTTAGAACCCAGGAATTTCCAGTTGCAAAGCAAGTTTGTATAGCATTCAGCCACTAGAAGCAGATTTAATGGCCAGCCCATGAATTCTAACTTCAATCAGTTCGTGATTTAGCGCGACGACCAACCAATGTCATCGGTGGGAACTCCATCCCCACACTTGACTGGATGGGTCTCACTGGTTACGACTTCTCACTAGAGGTTAGAATTCATGGGTTGGCCATTGAATCGTTTCCCAGTGACTGAATGCTATACAAACTTGCCTTGCAACCGGAAGGCCCTGTGTTCAAAGACTCTGTGGCGGGTGCTTACTGCTGATGATTCTCAAAATAGGATGAAACAGTTATCCAGCGCTTCTTGGAAGGAGGAAGGGTTACAATGGTTCTCTAAGTGATATCACTCTATGGTCAAACTCGGAAATTAAATTTCCTGCCTAATTTTATCGATATTCCCTTCAGTTTAACAAATTTTTGTGTATATTATCACTTATACATACGCTCGCATGAACTGTAATTCTATCGATCTTCTTTACAATTCCATGTTATTATTTAAAAAGCATATGATTATTGGGAATAATAGGAGGACGATGGAAGTGAAGAAAATTGCCTTTTCAACGAAGTCACTGTCAACTAGGTTGTACATTCGTGTATTTATGATAAATGGATGGGAAAGTTCCAGAATAATTTCTGGTCAAGGATCGAATCAATACAATTACAATTAGGAATTAAAATGCCATAATAAACAGGGGGGACGAATAAAGCTCACACAAAGTAGCAGCATAATTACTGAGAAGATTGACACATTGTGCAATTAGGTGTTAGAAATGTAGAAATAACAACAATAGACAGGATGTTTGGATAAGAAACCTAGTGGGATCATAACTGATGTGACGAATAATTGTTTACGCAATCAGGGATGAAAAGTTCACTTGCTCTTGCGAAGCTGAGTACATCGGCCGTGCCGCGCTCATGAGCACTATCCAGCCTGGCTAGTAAAAAGAGAACGGAAACGTGTACATAGATCAGTGACAGAACATCTGGTCAATTCAGGACATTCAGCGCCATTCGAAAAATCCTTCAAAATAATATACAAGATTCGATCAAACCTATCAAAAGGAGTGTAATTAAGACATCTGGGTAAAGCCGAGACACCCGCCATCCAAAAACTCCGACCCACACTATGCATCCAAAAGAAATAAGTCTAACTATTGTCCTTGGCATGGCTATCATAAACAGGTAATTCTTTTATTAGTGACTATCCCATTACCTTTCTTATTCAAACTTACTGTTTATTTTGTCATTTTATTATTTCTACATTTCTAACCCCTAATTGCACAATATGTCAATCTTCTCAGTAATTATGCTGCTACTTTGTGTGAGCTTTATTCGTCCCCCCTGTTTATTATGGCATTTTAATTCCTAATTGTAATTGTATTGATTCGATCCTTGACCAGAAATTATTCTGGAACTTTCCCATCCATTTATCATAAATACACGAATGTACAACCTAGTTGACAGTGACTTCGTTGAAAAGGCAATTTTCTTCACTGCAGGCATCTTTTTATTATTCCCTATGATCCATAAATATCCTATTTCTTTGTAACTGTAGAGGCAGATGACGGTGTTATCAAAGATAGGTTTATTCCTTATCCAATTCTCTTTGACTTTTAAACGTTTCAACTCTTTTTTTAATTCATTTTAGATTTTCCCATCGACTGACTGAACCAAAGTGCTCGATCTCAAGTCTACATATCGGCTCCTTGTGCAGATGCTTTGACAATGTCTGGTCATGTAACTTGAAGTCAATTCGTTGATGGTGATTAGCAGTGGATTCCAGGACAAGGTGCATTTCGTCCTATTCGTGACTCGTCGGCAACTGGATGTACATGCATTCCTCAGTCATTGAGTAGTATTGTCCCCACTGAGGCCCGTACCTAGTGCATATAGTTTCAAATGCCAAAGCGTTATCCACTAAACCTGTTTAGGTCGCGGGGACCACCTCTTGTGCGCATCCTGGATTCCACTGCTAGTTGCCATCAACCAGTTGATTTGAAGTTATAACTCTTCGGTTAATAATAATAACAAGATTCTTAATTTCGTTTAGAAAGTGACTGCAGACACTATTGACTATATGTGGAGGAATAACACGCATTTAGTGGATTTTCCTACCTCTTGGTTTATTGGTTTATTCACAGGTAACCATGAAATCTCCGACGTGAATTCTGCTCTTTATAAATGATCGTATTGTCAATAGTATGGAAACACGTAAAACCGGTTACTTCGAATGTCAGGATAATTGTAGGCATTACATATCTGCTGTCCTCAACCAGTCAGCGAGTTTGGGAAACTTTTGGCCTGGCAAGTACTTACATGGCTGGCTGACCGGAAATGCCGGTTGTTGCTGTTGTTGGTTTTTTGAGTGCTGTGGTAATCACACATACACACACACGTGGTCTGAGTTTCGATTACAAACTGCACCAACAATTTTGAATCATAAATGACGCTCCCAGTAATACCGCCTATGATAATCCCGATTCTGGTGGATTAGATCATTTGGTACACCACTGGAGGTGAAAAGACTGGCATATGTCGGAGAGTCAAAACCAGTGTAGAAGATATGAACTCTGTGGATGATTTATGTTTAATGTCACACGCAAAAAACCGAAAAAGAGATCGGCATTGATGACAGAACTTCAAGTGCACGGTAAATGGATGACACCTTCATTCTTTGTGATAATGATGCGGATAGGAACACAATAATAACTCAGTTCAATGAAATACATTCTACTATGCAATTCACGTGTGAAGAGGAATCCTCTAAAATAGAATTGCTTTCCTAGATGTCCTACTTACAAGAAAACCAGATGGTAGTATAAAAAGAAACTTGCAAAGGAAAAGTACATGGACAGGACAATATACACATTTTTACAGCTTTGTTCCTCTCCTGTACGAGAGAAATTTAGTTAAGACACTCAACCACAACAGGGTTAGAACTATATGTTCAGAAGAGGTACTTGAAGATGAACTAAGGATTTTATATGATAACCTGACTGACTGAAAATAGCTATCAAGACAGATTCATCAGGAAACTTATGACTAAGAAAGTTGAAAAGGATTAATCACTACCCGTAAACAAGAAGCCTTTATACATACGATTGAAATTAAAGGACGACATACCTAACAAAATAGTTACAAAGACGTTAAGAAAATCAGTTCAAAGAACTTTAAATACTGACGAATTGCAAATCATATTTTCTACACGATCGGTGGTGATTCCCCAGTTGAAAGATGAAGTAACTAGACTAGCCACTTCTAATTGTATCTACCAATTCAACTGCACTTGTGGAGCGAGTTATATCGGTCGCTGCTCTAGGAACTTGATTTTTCGTGCTCGCTGGGGAGCATCTACCAGTGTGGCTAAGTAAAGGTGTAGTAAAAACCATCATCAGCAGTTCGATATTAGACCACCTGGTCCAAACCGGCCACAAAGCCAGCAAGCATTGAAGAATCTCTCTCTATCACCTACAGGGTAACAGCTAAATTGGCAAAAACATCGAAGAACCACGTACTCCTAACAGTAGAGTCTATCGTAGTTCGCGTGAAACAATCAGTGCTTTGTGTGCAAAAGAAGCAAGTCCAGCCAGCCACTACTATTACCCTTGCAGGCCTTCAGTAGAGACTATAAATTCATACATTTTTATTCTGATTTTTCCTAGTTTCTCTGGCATTCAGTGTAGTGCAGTGTTATGTTGTTGCTATCGAGCTGTAATCCATTGATATTACTGATTCGATATTATTAAAACAACATCAATGTTGTTAATAACAACAATTCCTTCACTATTATGGAAGGATATATAACTGTAGAACCTGATGATGAAGTTATCGAAAAGAATACTCTTTGTTCAGTAATCATTCTTTTGATAGATTTTAAGGAAGCCGACTTTTTCTCTTATCAAGGTATCATCGTTTCAAATAACAGGAGACACAGATAAAGATGTCAAAGCCAGCCAGGAAGAGATCAGAAGAGCAGGGCTGGTGTTCAAAGTGGAAATCTACTATATTCGGCAGAGGAACCAAGACGCAGATTTTCAACACTAGTGTTAAACTGGTGCTTCTATGTGGTTCACAGAGTTGGTACACGAGTCACGAGCTTACTGCCTTAGTTCCATACTGAAGATCAGAAAGTCAACCAGAAAGGATAAGCAAGAAGGATCTCTGGGAACCATTCAACCAAAAAGCTGTTGCAAAACAAATACGGAAAAGAAAAATTTGGTGGATTGGACATACGATGAGGAGACTGTTAAGTGATGTCACTCGCCACGCCCTCGAGTGCGACCTTAATATAAAACAACGCACTGGGCGTCAGATGGTGACATGGACGAAATCGTGTGAACAGAAGATGATAGCTTATAGGCAATAATAGAACCAGCTAAAAACGACTTCACAGGACGAGATGATATGGAGATATGCTGTTGAAGCTGTACATCCTACTGTATACCCAAGGAAATATTAAGGCCATGTAGGCGACTGCCGACTTCCCTCTCACATTCCCCAACGATAATTCTCAGAAAGAGAGTGTGAAAATAACAATATTTATTTTATTATTATTATAATTACTGTGTGCATTGAAAAATATAATTAAAAGCAGATTGTGTGATAGTAAACAATGAGAACAGCAAAATCCATTTTTAAATATCCCTTGAGGAATTCTATCAGATAGGCATTTTGTACCAATATTCAAAAACACCAATAAAGGCATATTTCACCTAGAACGAAACAGGACCACTAATAAATAATATTGAACCTTCAACTCCTCAAGGCCACAAGTGTAGATGTGTGCATTTGTATGTGTGCGTGTGTGTGTGTGCAGGATATGTTAAACAGCGAAATTCAAACGTAAATAGTGATCGGACAAACAACGATCAGAGCATTATAGGGAGAAGAGACTGGAAATCAATGGTAATCAGATATTTCGAAGGAAAAAAAACAAACATATTTAAGAAAAAAGGCGCAATTCTTAAATAAATAATTAAGTAAACATCATAGCAAAAGAAAAAGACAATAATGAGTGCTCTAATTTAAACAAAAATAGATGAAAAAAATAAGAGAAGGACGAACAAACAAAGTATAAGGCTAAAATAATAACCAATAAAAATAGACTATTGCTAGCTTCTTGAATCTGATTGGTTAGAATAACAAGGACACTAATTAAAACAAACAAAATTCACTAATTGAACACATTGAGCAACAATTCACGATTGACGATTAAGAAAAAGAGGTGCTTAAAGCGAGATTTACTCTCACAGTGACGATTAGATAATAATAATAATAATAATAATAAAATGTTAGACAAAAGTGACGTAAACAAGAAAAGTATAATTATATAAATCAGACATGATCTTTAAAATATGGTGGGTGCATGTTGAAGTGGAATAATATGTTATCGTGTTGCAGGTAAATTTAATTCATACGAGGAAGGCAATATTAAATTCTCCTGAAAATTCTCCTCATCCACTTATCCATTAGTTAGCTACCTTCAGCGGTGCATTTTGATGATTGATTAAATTTGTCCCTGAATTCTGAGAATTGATCAGTGAGGCATTTGAAGCTCTACGATAGAATAAGTGTCCTGTGTCACTCTGTCAATTAGTAAAGGCAAAAGAAAAACAAATTGGGGAATGAGGAAAAATGGGAGATTATTATGTGTAAATATGCAGACTAACGCAAAAAGGTCAATCAATCAATCCATCAATCAGGTTAACCAACCAATCAGGTTTCAGCACTTCGATGGACACTCAATAGTTGCCCAGTGTTGCTGCATTATTGGATTCTGAGATCTTTTTTGGTCTGAAAATGCTGCAGGCAGATTTCATTCGTCTTTGAGCCGAATTAACTGATTCTATCCATATTGATTGACTCTTATTGTCAGACTGCCACAGGTAGAATGTGTATAGATTGAAAGGCTACTTTTCTCAAGTGTCGGTTTGCAGGGATTTGATTGATTGGTTACAGGATTTCGTCATGAGCTGGACAGCTCTTCAGTACTCTCAGATTTTCCAATGGTTCTTTTACCGATGCCAAATCATGATGAAATCCTGTAACTATTTTTTTCGATAAATTCCTAATCAATTTCAGCAGTTATATACATTCCTTTGAAATTTAAGGGCGATTAGCAGAGAATTAATTAGTAAATATGGATACTCGGGAAAGTTCCTGAGTAAAAGTATTAAATTACTTTCGAAGACAAACTAGAGTGTCGATGGCTCCAAAAATAAGCTCTTGTTCTTAAATCTACTGAAGTTCCTTGATGATATCACCAGTGATATAGTAAAAATATCATTTAACACAACAGAAGTTCACTATTTCATCACCGCAGTCACTTCGATTTTACGTCCGGTAGCATAAAAAGAAGTATGCACAGAAAAAGCACATGGGCAGGACAGTATACACATTTTCACATCTTCATTCCTATCAAGTACAAAAGGAATTCAGTAAAGACCCTCAGCCAGAGAGTTGTAGCTGTATGCTCAGAAGAAGTAACTGATGATGAATTAAGCATTGTATATGATAATTTGATCGAAAATAGCTGTCCCGACAAATTTATCAAGAAACACATTACATAGAAAACGGAAAAGGACCACTCCCTATTCGTGAACAAGAATCCTTTATACATACGACTGCAATTCAAAGTCGATATACCTAGCGAAATAATTACGAAGAAGTTAAGAAAATCAGTCCAAAGAACTTTTAATGCAGGTCAATTACAAGTCACATTTTCTATAAGACCGGTTGTGATTCCCCAGTTGAAAGATGAAGTACCTAGACTAGACTAGCCTCTTCCAATTGTATCTGCCAATTCAAATCCGCTTGTGGGGCGAGTTGTATCTGGCATTGCTTTAGGAACTTGATTTTTCGTGCTCCTTTGGGAGCACCTACCAGTGTGGCTTAGTAAAGGTGTAGTAAAACCATCATCAACAGTTCGAAATTAGAACATCTGGTCCAGACTGGCCACAAAGCCAGTCAGCATTGAAGAATCCTTCTTTATTATCTACCGGCTACCAAACAAATTGCCAAAACCATCGAGGAACCACGTACTCCAAACAGCAGAGGCTATCGCAATTCGCGTGGAACAATCAGTGCTTTGTGTGCAAAAGAAGCAAGTCCAGCCAGGCACTACTACTGCCCTGGCCGGCCTTCAGTGGAGAGTTTCAGTTCATGAATTCGTATTATTACCTTTCCTAATTTTTATGGTATTCAGTGTAGTGCAGTGTTATGTTGATGCTATTGAACTGTAATCCATTGATATTATTATGATTATTGCTGATTCGATGTTATTTAAACAACATTAATATTGTTAATGACACTAATTCATACATTCACTGTTATGTGCATATATAAATGTAGAGCCTGATGACGAAGTTGTCGAAAAGAATATTCTTTGTTCCATAACCATTCTTATGAAAATTTTAATGGGCATTTTTAATCAGTTCAAATAACGATGAACTGTCTAACTTTGCCTCCTCTATGTGTATCTTTTATATTTTCTTCAAGTTATTTGATTGATATAACATCTCACGACTTGTAAAGCCATGATGGTCACAGGTAGACAGAAAAGACACAGAGCCACTCACAGAAGTCATTCGTCAGTTATTATCAAAGATCCCATGACATTTTAATACTTAAGCTACATGCAGTTGGGTTGTCAATTACCCAAGAATCATTGATTGAACACTACTTAGTAACTAGTGTGATGTGTGTAGTCCTTTATTTGGTGCAGACTGAATTTTATCAGTCAGGTTTGAATGTAGTCACCATGATACTAAGTGGCTCGCCATCATGGTGCACACTGATTTGATGATATTAGACGGTTAGAGGCAATCGACAGGAAGCCTTGCCTGACCTAGGTTTCGTGCTAGTTGGTAGATCTGCGATCTTGAAGGAACTCATGCCCCTTCTGAGATTTGAACCCATTCCACCCAGTGCTTCCTGCAGTCAGAGACGTTCCCACTCAAAAGAATGATCCAAAGTTGAGACACCTGTGCTTTTTAGAGATTATAGAGCACAGAATAGTAAATAGACAGAAGGACTAACAAATGGCAGATATGGTAATGTCATTTATGATCTGATTGTTGAAACAGAGACATGAACACGGTACAAGAACCAACTGCGATGGCATATGCATGTCTCTCGACAAAAAAACAAACACCAGCGGTTTTTGAAATACTACTGAACACCTTTGTAATGCAATGCGAAAAAAAGAGAGGCAGAGAAAGTACCTGGATTTTATATAACAATGAATCACCCTGTCAGTAGCGGTTAGACAGGCGCGGGAAACAGATAATGCGCTTCTTGACTGAGGTTCGACTGTTCCTGTGAACCTAGTTGCATTGAGTGTACAATTAGGCGTGTTAATCACCAAGCCCTGTTTTGGATGATCTTACAGATAGATACATAAATTTGATGCTGACAAGTTATTAAAAGATTATCTACTGTATTCCAACTAATTTTAATTTTAATTTAAGAATTCATCTTCTACAAAATAAACAAAGCCATAAGAATCCACCTGAAAAAGCCTAACTCATGCATTAGGAAGAATTTCTCTCGATGCGAACAACTCAATATTAAAAAAAAACTGTTCAAAGAATATTCTTTTCGATAATTTCCTCTTCTGGCTTTACAATTATATATAAATATATTTATATACAGAGTTTTTTTATTCCTTCACGTTCCCAGTGGAACACAGCATAGGGCTTCAAGCTAGGGGCTTGAAGTTTCTGCAGTAGTGTTTATTTTTACAGGATGGGATTGCTAGCCTCATGCCTAAACTTTCCTCTTTACCAGCTTTATTTCTGGCTCAGCGAGGTAAAGGAGTGCGTTGGCCGGGGATCGAACCCCGGACCATGTGCATGGTCGGTGACTGTCCTAACCGCTGTGCCACGGACACACTATATACACAGAGTATCCTAGAATAATCGTCATGACAAATATTGATGTTTTTAAATGCAGTCGATTTGTTAAGATCAATGAAATTACAGTTCAAGAAAGATGCATAGATTATAATAAGCATTTACATATAATACTAAATAGAATATCAAATAAAATTAAGGAAATTTCAACAACAAATTAAGGATCATTGAAACCTTGATGGCCAAGGTAAGGACAGTGTCTGAACTAAATTCTTTTGGGTACATACATAGGTTAGGGTTCTTGATGTAGATCCCAACAACCTCAGCAATAAGTAGCAGACGAACTCTTAAGTTAAGATTAGTTGGTATGTAGTAGACAACTTTGAAAGCTTCCTCATTAACATCAGTCTTGTGTTCTGTATCTATGAAATGAGATAGGACAGGACTATGAATGGATTTTATTTGTCCTTTACTTAACTACGCAGGATGGTGTTCGGAAATCCAACAAAACACATCAACGGTGTAAATAACAATTATTCCTTAACTATAATTCGAATGTTGAAAGTGAAGGATATGAAGGGGCTAGCTGTCTTCGCCCACAGATGTTTGTGTTCTGTCTCCTGTGTAATATGGTGAGCAATATTGAAGTTGGGCATATGGTGCTACGTAAGGACGGCAATTCTATCGATGAGGTTATGAAGTCAAATAGATTGAGATGTCTAGGAAAAATTTCACGCATGCCAAGCCACCTCATTCCTCATCAAGCGGTGTTAGCTGAAAAATGGTTAGTTTGTTGTAATAGAATAATTTTAAAGTATCAGCTCATGATGAAATCCTTAAACCAATCGAACACAATCCCTACAAAACTAATACTTGAAAATTGATCTGATACCCACTAGCGACTGGCCCTATTGAGGTGGGAAATTAATTGGGTTTCTAGTGGGAAGCCATAACCAGTATAGTACAGCAAGTCGAAGATGAGGACAGTTACTCATCGAGAACATTACAAAGTGTTTGTGTTATGTCGTAAATTAACAGAAGTTGGAATTCATGGACTGGCGGTTGGATCGGGTCCTAGTGGCTTAATGGTCTACGAGCTCGCTCGCCTTGTAACCAGGATGTACTGTATCCGAACCCTGTTGGTGGGTGCGTACTGCTGAAGAGTCCGAAACTAGGTTGACAAAACAGCTGGCTGTCCAGTACTCCCTAGTGATTTTCCAATGGTTCTCTAACCAATGTCAGCTTATGATGAAATCCTCCAACCAACAGAATAATTGTTTGAAAAATCCCTCCTGAACGATCTAATCACGATATTGATACTTATTTGAATTTTTCAACTAACTTTGTAATTGTGATTCTCTTTTCTTTTAAGCTGTCTATCATTGTTATAAACGTTTGCCTATCACCTGGTGACTTAACTGTTATTATTTGTCTTTGTTCCTGTTTGATCTCTAATTTTAATGCTTCTCTTTGAGGTTGTAAGAAACATTGATAATGTGTTGTCTTATGATGTGATTTTGTTTGAATGAATCAAGGTTATTCTGACCTTCGAATGTGTGAGAGAATTGTTTGATGTGTGTGCGATTTTTTTGATCCCACCTTTTTGGGAATATTCTACTTGATTCTGAAGTTTTATACTAGGAGATTATGTATCCTGTATAGCTGCCTAACAGCACGGTTGAGCATCGCATTGATTTTACGTCGAATAACTGTGTTTTTTGCTGTTTTTGGTGAGTTTTCTGACTGTACATGTCTCAAGAGAGCTTTGATCAGGTATACTGTAAGACTGAGAGGTCAGTTTCCTGTGTTCGGACCCCCACACCAAGTCCATTATGGTGTTTTCAGTTGGGAAAGAGTTAGCGGTAGTCAAATCAGAGCATGAAATCAACCAATGAAGTGTTTGATAGTCGGTTTGAGTTAGCCGCGTGGGGCAAAGACTTTTGATGAAATGGTTCCAAATCGTTCTCAGTGTTCTCCTAGATGAATTCGCTCATGTATTCCCTCTGATTAATTAATCCGTCAGATTTTCTCTCGGAATAAAGTTCTTTGGAATTTCTTTCTCCTCTTTCTTTTCTCTGTCTTTTTGTGCTAAATCGAGGGGGTGTGACAATATAAATCTCTGTGCACTTCTAAGCAAAGTTCTGTACGTTGAAACTCAGGTAGTCGGTTAGTCAACCGGTTATTAGGCATTTATATATAACTGTAAAACCTGATGAAGAAGTTTTCCAAATGTTTAAATGTGATGTTTTATTATAATTACTCCCTTGGGTTCCGAGTGCAATATAGGGCTTCAAAAACACATCTCCACTTTATTCTATTCTCTGCGGTCCTCTTCAGCTGGATTTTTCCATTGTGTATCACCTGACTGTCACGTGGCAAGGAATGTTATATAGCCAGCCCACTGTTGAATGGGATATTTTGTTGTTCATAAAATCGATAATAACATTGAACCATTGTGTTTGTATAAATGTATTCACCAAGTAAATAAAGAATGCCTGAAATAAACAACTTATGGTATATATGTAAACAAAAAAAACATACAAGCAAGGAAACAAGATCTAGAATTCGAGTTTTATTCAGGTAAACAAATAATTCTGTAAATTAGTTTTAACGGACAAAAAACCGCAACACATTGTCCTTAAAAGATGGTTATGAATGTAAGCGGTCATTAAGTGATATAATCATACATGAATATACGCATACAAAGATATACACAGATATGGTGAACTTTATCCTATTACCAGTTCACACGTCAAGCATACTTTCGTTGTCTTATATCAAAAATGTTGTCAGCTAATTAACCTTTACAACCACTGTCATTAATGGAATTTATTTTTTATTTTGATTACAGCTTGATGCCACACCGTATTTTCAGTACAAGTATGGAATTTTCAGCATGGATATCGGTAGCCCAAATTTTGCAGGCCAACCATAGATATTGGGTGTCCACCGGCAGGGGATCGAGCCCCAGACCATGTGCATGGTCGGCGAGAGTCCTAACCACTGTGCCACCGACGCTATAGCTGAATGAATTAATTGGCCTTTTAGAAATGCTATGCTTGAATACAACATCTAACTTTTGGAATTATTTGTGTTCTCTGCGCTGGCTGGTTGGTTTAATTGCGAAGCTTTCGTCGTCCCGCTTCTGGACAACATCCCCCTTCAGTGCAAGTTTTAGCATAAAATGAACTGATTTAAATTCTCCATGAATGATGATATAATTGTATCTCACTTGTAGCTACCATCTTCGTGACTGGTAGTCAATTTACATCTGTGTTGATCATTTTTTTGTTGACTTGGAATTTGAACCTTCTTGTCACGTGATGACTTACTTTTTATTAGTTGGTAAATTCGGTATATACTAGTAATGTATTTTTTGTTAACTGCATATTCGCTTGAGTACCAACCAGGCTTCTAGGAATTCCCTTGCAGGATTTCTGGTGTTTCTTCTATTTAAAATTTCTATATAATCCCAACAATTAAACTGGTGTCCATAACTATCCACATGCATTGATACGAAAGAATATATATCATGTCTTTTCACAGCCAATTTGTGTTCTTAGATTATGATTCGAAGGGGACGCATACCACTGGGACCCGATCCAGTGACCAGCCCATGGATTCCAACTTCTGCTAATTCACGATATAGCGCGACCACTTCGCAATGTCTTCTTTGATGAGTGACCGTCCTCACCTTCAGCCTGCTGTATCCCACTAGTTATGGCTTCTCACTAGAACCCCAGGTAACTTCCCACCTGAATAGGGCCAGTTGCTAGTGAGCATCACTTTTATTTAACCACACTGATAGGTGTTCTCGAGTATGAAAAATTAAGTTCCTAGGGCATCACAGTGAATATAAGTTGCTCCACAGGAGCAGTTGAAATGATAAATGCAAAAGGAGGTGGCTAGCCTAGGTACTTTATCTTTCAGTTGAGCAATCACGACCACTTGTGTGGAAAATGTAAGCAGCAACTTACTGGCATTAAATGTTCTTTGAATCGATTTTCTCAACTTGTTGGTTATTATTTCACTTGGTCGTATATATAGGCTACTTGTTAACAGATACAGTAGAATTCTTTCTTACTGTCCTGGTTTCGTGTTTTGTGATGAAGTTTTCAGGCTGACTGTTTCCAACTGACGTGTCGTATACAACCTTCAGTTCATCTTCAAACGTATCTTCTGAACAAATAGCTCTAACCTTTGCCAAAATTCTTTTATACCGAAAGGGAACAAGTCTGTGAAAATGCGTCTCTTCTTATGCAAATTCCATTTTATGCTACCGTCTAGTCCTCTTGTCAGTAGGACGACTAAAAATGTAATTTTACTATAAGATTCTTTTTTTTGATTGACTAGTGTCCAACCATCTAATACTATGCGATTCTTCTGTTGCACATGTGAATTTGATAGCTGAATGTATTTCATTGAATTGAGATAGTCAAGTGTTGGTTTGTAGGGATTTGACTGGTTACAGGATTTTCATCATGAACTGATATTAGTTAGAGAACCATTGGAAAACCTGGAAGTACTGGACAGCTGTTTCGTTCTAGTTTGGGACTCTTCATCAGTGCGCACCCACCGGGGTTCCTGTTCAAATTATTTCTGAAAATGACGAACGTATCATTCATATTCCAGCAATAAAATGAAGAGTAGTCTTTCTCTAATATCAATGTTTAATATTACGAACAGCGAAGACCATTACAATTCGCTTAAGTTAACCAGAACTCTGCGCGCCAAAGAAACAGATTCAGCCAACCACTATTGCTATTCTGGCCTACTGTCAAGCCTATGATCTCATAGGTTCTATGCTACTTCGCTTAATTTATCTGATATTCAGTTAGTTTCATGTTATATTAATGCAGATGATACCTTACTGATGCTTTTGAAATGTAATCTGTCGATATTATTGTTACCTTCCCCTTGGGTTCAAAGTGGAACATACCGCTTCAGCAACACATCTTAACTTTCCTCTATTTTCTTCCATCCTCTTCAGTCGGATTCACGATTGCTGAAACTCCCTCATCTCTTCCTCCCACGACCTACTCCATGTCACTCTCACACTGACGACCCACTCGTCGCTTCCCATTTGGACTCCACTTCAGCGATGGCCTGCATTGAGCGCATTGTTCTTCGATGGCCTTCTCAATGTATGCCCGACCAGTCTATCTCCATTTTCTCCTACATATTCGTTGAAAAATCTGCTCTCGCCTGTTGGGTTGTTCCCAGTCAACCAGTGTTTATTGTTTCTAATTCTTTCCGCTTGGCCATTTGATCTTCTGTATGGAGCCGGTGAACTGGACAGCTGTTGATAAAAGTCTGAAGTAGCCAGTTGGAAATCCTTTTTGTGACTCACACCCAGTGTACGTTTCTGACCGGTATAGAAGGACCGACTTGACATTGGTGCTGAAAGTACGAATCTTATTCCTTATGCTGAGTCAGTCCAGAAGATTTGCAAACTGGTTTCAGGTTGATGAAGTTGTATGTTGCCTCTTCGATTCTGATTGGCTTTAACATCTTCATCCGTGCTCTCCTCCTGTAGTTGAAACGATGCTTCTTGACTGGATAAGTGAAGGGAGTAATCTCTGTTAAACCTCTCTCTCGTTGATGGGGATTGATGCTGGTTGTTGTTATTGTTGCTGCTTCAGTACTATTAGTTTCATGTAATTTAAGACAGCATTAATATTGTTGTTAATAACAACAATAATTTTAACTGAATTTCAGATTTTCCCGTCGATTGATTGGCCCGAAGTGCTCGGTCTCTAAAATTCAATTAAGTAATTAATATGACCCGTTTCAAAAGAAACGGTGGCTCTCGTGGCCCAAGTGGTCTAGTGGATAACGCTTTGGCGTTTGAAACTATGGGTACTGGGTTCGAACCTCGGTGCGGAGAACATCATCACTCACTGGGGAATGCAGGTACATCCAATTACCGACGAGTCCCAAATAGGACGAAATGCGTATCCTGGATTCCACTGCTAGTCACCATCCACCAATTCAAGAGGGACAACTGTTATTCACTGTTCAAATAAAAAAAATAATGGCAAAAATTCATGTGAACTCACCTCTTCAGCGAATACATAATTACTCAGACCAGTGGTAAGCAATACAGCTGGACAAGGTTCTAAATGTTTAGGTGTATACTCCATTCGATATAATGTAGCATCATCAAATGGTGTTTGATTCATAACAGCTTGACTGAGCGGTTTACATGATTCAGCTGGTCGATAATTCAAATGGGGCACATAATGATCACTAGTTGTACTTTTCCCTTCAAATTTAACATTTGGTATTGTGTATGTTCCTGCTCTGGGAGTAACTTTAATATGCGGTTCCAATGCCCAACGTCGATAACTATCTGTATAGTCTGAAATACCCTGTAGAGAAAAGATGAATGCAAAAAGAGAAAAAAACATTTGTCTTATATGGGCAACTAAAAATGTAATTTTTACAAAAGACAAACGAAAATTCAGACTGTACTGAATGAATATTATTCACTCATAGTTATTATTCTACGTAGAATTGAAAATAAACATACGAACAGCTTTTATAATATAGAAGTTTTTGTATTTCCCAATGAATGAAAAACAAAACAATACTGTTTTTCATTGGAGGATTTCATCATGAGCTGACATCAGTTAGAGAACCACTGGAAAACCTGGGAGTATTTGGCGGCTGTTTCTTTCTAGTTTGGGACTATTCAGCAGTACGTAGCCACCGAAAGCGTTCAAACCCACGACCTGATGTTATCTGATGTTGAAATCGTCCGACCAATCAAACAAAATCTCAACAAACCACTGCATGAAAATTAATCTGATGCTCACTAGCGACTGGCCATATTCAAACAGTGACCTGGAGTTCTAGTGGGAAGTCGTGATCAGTAGGGTACAGCAGTTTGAAGATGTGGCAGTAACTCATCGAAGAAGACACTGCGAAATGGTCGCGCTATGCCGTGACTTGGCAGAAGTTAGAATTCATGGGTTGGACATTGGATCGGGTCCCAGTGGCTGATGAATGGTCTACGAGCTCCCTAGCCTTGTAACCAGAAGTTCCTGGGTTCGAGCCCTGGTGGGTGGGGATGTACTGTGAAGAGTCCAGAACTAGGGCGAGACATCTGGCTGTCCAGTACTCCGTGGGGGTTTTCCAATGGTTCTCTAACTGATGTTAGCTGACGATGAAGTCTTGTGATCAATCAAACAAAATCCCTACAGATCAATATATGAAAATACTGTTTTTACTGATGTTTCGCTATTTAATGCTGCTAATAGATTCGTCGAAGTATTATTAAACCAGAATTTCCAAAATCTGAGCTTGTATATGCTAACTGGATCATCGCACCTCAGCATGAGGAAATTTTTACGTTGTCAGGTGTGTGAACTAGTAGAGATAACAGTCCGTCTGTGCAGATTGTTCGATTTGCTAAGTGTATAAAATTTTAAAAATAGATTGTGTTTACATCGTGAAAATCGCTTATCACATCTGCACCGATGTTGTCACTTCATACGGCAGGCGTGGGTGGGGTTATAGGAGCCAGGTCAAATTCTCTCTTAATCCATCATTCTTATTCGAACAGTTTCGATTCCATTTAATGGGAAGTGCTTCTGATGATATGACACGCTGTTTTTGATTTCTGAAATATTATCGAAATCAGTTTTGTCGCGTGACTCTTTAGCGTGTGTAAGCTTATGGCTGATCATTTTTTAAGCTTTTGTAGTTCAGCCGGATTTCCCAGTGGTCGAACTGAGCCTTTATGGAATTCGGTCTTCTACATAGACAAGGTTACTTTTTAGTGTGTCTGATGTTGTTGAGTACTCCTAAGAATTTCAGCAGTATTTTCATATTTCTTTTCCTTTTTCATCTGTTATCATAGAGTGCGCTCGTCTAAAATAACTTGAGGCAACTGATACCTTTGCGCTAATGGGGTGTGCTGACACGAAGTCTAAATATTTGTTGGCGTGGATTTTCTTCCTGAATATAGATACATATATTAAAATATCAATTTTCTTTCCTCTTAAACAGGCAGTCTAGAAAACGTAACCCACCGATCTCCGACTCTACTACCGAAGTAAACTGAATTCTTAGAGATAGGCTGTTCAATTTCTCCAAGAATGAATTGTGTAGGTCTCGTTTTAGAACAATGAAAGTATCATCAACGTGTGATTATAGGTTTCCAGGCCGTAGGTGTTACGAACTTCCTGAAATAATTTGAGCGCCAAGTCAGATTGATTCATTATAAATTATTTAAATTAATCCCAGCGTGTTAAGAAAATCAAAACAAGATTTTTCTTGTTTTGATTTTCTTAACACGCTGGGATTAATTTAAATAATTTATAATGTATCATCAACGTGTCTTAACCATATTTTAGACGTCAGTGTGCTTGAAAAGATGTTATCTTCAAATATATTCATAAAAAGATAAGCAACTATTGGGGAAAAGGGTGAACTCATAGCAACACCATTTGTCTGTCTATATAAATTCCCTTTAAATGGAAAATAATTTCGAACAGTTCGAACAGGCTACTGCAGAGGAATTGGAAGACTTACAGGCGAAAACCAACAAATTGGATGGAGAAGCTGTGACTCCGTGGCTCCAGGTGAACATAGGGAAAGAGGAGATGGAGCTGATGGAGATAAACACCAACCAACAACAACAACACCCAGCACCGATCCCCATCAACAAGAGAGACTTGACAGAGATTGCTCCCTTCAGTTATCCAGCCAGGAAGCATAACTTCAGCTGTAGGCGGATGAAGATTTCAACGCGGGCCAGCCATAATTGGAAAGGCAAGAGACACCCATACCAACCTGAAACCAGTTTGGAAACCTTCTGTTCTCACTCACCCACTCAGTCAGCATAAACAACAAGATTCGTATTCTGTTCAGCACACATGTGAAGTCAGTGAGTCATTTCTTCTATGCGAGTCAAAAACTTGCACTGTGTGCGTCACGAAAAGGATTTCCAACAGCCTGTTGCAGACGTCTACCAACAGCTGTCCTCTTCTCTGGCTCCATACTGAAGATCAAATGGCCAACCGGAAAGAATAAGAAACAAGAAACTCTTCAGTGGAACAAACCAACAGGTGAGAGCCAATTGCTCAATAAATATGTAGGAGAAAATGGAGATGGATTGATTGGGCATACGTCACTGAGGAGGCTACTGAATGACATCGTGCGCAGAGCAGGCCATTGCTCGAGTGGAAGGTGAAGGAGGAGAGACGAGCGGGTGGTCGTTGGTAGAGTGACATGGAGAAGATCGTGAAAATTGGAGGAGGAGATGAGAGATTCTAGGCAACCGTTTAACTAGCCAGTTAAAGAGGACGGTAGAAAATAGAACGAAGTGGAGATGTGTCGTTTTTTTCACTTGGAACCCAAAGTAATAATAATATATAATAGTTATATATGGTGTAGTCTCATCAGTAACGGCCTCTATAATGAAAGTCAAGTGGCTGGTCAGATAAGATAAGCAATAAAGAACTCTGGATGTCAACAAACCAACCAAGAACTTATCGCCCAACACATGTTCACAAAAGGAACATTCTCAAAGAATACTCAAAGAGTGGCTTCACACACCAGGCCCTCGAGTAGAATTCGAACGGGAAGCGACAAGTCAGGTGTCTGAGTATGACATGGAAGCAATCCTATGAAGAGAAAATGTAGGTATACAGCCAGTCTTGTAGGCAGTTAGTAAAGGACAGAAGAGATCCTATTGTATTGGAGATACGCTGCTGAATTCCTACGTCCCATTCAGAACCCAAAGGATGAAAAAAAGCGATAGCAATAGTGAAGAAGACATTATGTAGGTCGTATGCAGCTAACGTGATACCAAAGAAATAAAATAATGGTAAAACTGAAAAGGAAGGGATTAAGAGCTTCGGGAAATATGTTGTCAGTGTTAATTTTCCATGAAACATCAATAAAACCCTTAAAAGAAAGCAGCTGTACATACCTGAAATGGTGGTAGCTCAGTACCACGGCCTAATTTATCAGCTTTACGTATAGCTTTTTGATGCTGTAGTTCAAATGGAATGTAGTCCTTATTGTAGGTTGTATCAGAGCTCATTTTACCCAACGGTTCTGGATAAGTTGAATGACCGTCACCCATTACTGGTGTACTTCTTTCTGCAACTTCCCATTGTCTATAATCACTTCTATGCGTTGTATCCTTGGCGAATGGTTCAGTGTTTTTGATCCCTGTATATTCTGGTTTACATGACGCTGATGGAACTGGTAGGAGTGGAAAGTGAGAAAATGAAAAAGGCCAAAAAAAGAATAACTCTATTCACTAGTAATGCTTGTTACGCAACTATAGATACTGAGCTGCGTTAAGCAGCAAAACTAGTTTTTACTCCGAACATCTTTCTCTTTGGAGCAGTTAGAAATCGACAAACAATCCTCGTGTGTTATCTCCAGCTGTGTGTATGAATTCACATCTAAGTGCGGGATCAGTTACATTGATAGGACAATAAGAAGGGCTTCTGTCAGATTCTTTGCACATATTCTAAAAGAGCTTTCGATTATGAGGACCAGATAGTTTGAACTCTTCAATTACCAAACACCTGATACACACAGGACACCGGGTGGACGCATTTAAAGCATTCGAAATAATTACCAAGCAAGAGAGAATAAGTCTTCTTCGGTTTGCTGAAGCCACTGCAATAAAATGACTGAAATCTGATCAATTTGTTGAAAAGGAATCCGTCGTGGGATTTGCATTAACCTGGTAACTCTGCATATCACTCTAATTTCGCTTCATATGGTTTAATTAAATATTATAGGTTGCATGCGACTGATGAAAAACGACAAAATAAGATGGATCCATATTATTCTGCTTAGATGTTTCTTGTATCTCTGGTCAAACTTTGATGATTATCGTGAAATTGTTTCAGATTATACCGGCGCCCGAAGCCATTCATGTACACATCCATCTCCAGCAGTATGCATCCATCGGGGTTCGAATCCATGACCTTCCGGTTATGAGACGAGCTCGTAGACCATTCATCCACTGGGACCCCACTCAGTTCTCCACGAATTCTAACTTCTGCCAATTCGTGATGTATATTTAGCGCAACCATCAGCCAGTATCACAGGCGAATAACTGTTCTCTTGCTTGATTTGATGGACCTCATTGGTTACGAATTCTCACTAGGACCCCAGATAACTTCCTGTATACAGCCAGTAGGTAGTGAGCATCAGACTAATCATCATACATAGATTTGCAGGAATTGGACTGGTTACACAACTGGTCTCGAGCTGACATCATTTAGAGAACCAGTGAAAAACCAGGGAGTAGTGGGCAGCTGTTTTTCCCTAGTTTGGGACTCTTCACAGTGTGCACCCACCAATTCAGGCAAGAGGAAAATTACTCGCCTGTGACACTGCCTGGCGATTGTGCTAAATGCATATCACCAATTGGCAGAAGTTACAATTCACAGACCATTGGGTCGGGTCCCAGTGGCTGGATGGTCTACGAGCTAGCTAACCTTGTAACCGGAAGGCCCTGGCTTCGAACCCCAGAGGGTGTTTACTGTGAAGAGTCCCAAACTAGGACGAAACAACTGTCCAGTACTCCCTAATGGTTTCCAGCGGTTCTCTAACTGATGTCAACTATTGATCAAACTTGTAAACCACCAATGAAATCCCTACAAATCTATACTTCAGAAAATCACTTTCGTGAATTAAATTGATAAACGCATGAGCTATTGAACAACAACCAAGGTTTATTTTAATTAATAATATTTTCAATCCCACCTCACTTTCCTATATGTCTTATCTATGATCTTGAACAGTAAACATTCTCCCCTGTTTTTATTCTCTACATTCTGATTGGAATATGAGGCTTCGAGCTTGTTAAAAGTTTCTGTACCGTTGGTTTTGTATCTTTTACAAGGTAAGGTTGTTAGCTTCCCACCCAATCTTCTCAGCGAGTGCTGGGCTCCAACCGACCAGGACCTCTTGCATGGCTGGCGAGGATTCTACTGCTGAATCACCGACGTATAAGCGGGACTTATATTGCTTCCGTTTTCACAACTTACACTCTGTCACCTCTCCTATAAAGATGTATGCCAAGTTGGCGAGGAACTCTGGCAACAAGCCAACCAACAACCTACTACCCAACAAATATGCCAATCCAAGTGGAGATGGTTTGGATTTATGGGGAGGAGACCGCTGCGTGATATCACACAACCGGCTCTCTAGGGAACCCTATAAAGGAAAGTGCCATGGTGGGCGCGGATCTGAGGATAAAGTGGAAGAGATCGTGGGAGGAAGAGATGATAGCCTATGAGCAATCGTGGAGCCTGTTGTCAAAGACAGTGAAAATCATATCATAGAGACCAGCTTGGTGATCATTCAGATACTGAACTGGTAACCTAAAGGTCCTAGATTCGATGACTATTGATATTATAGGTATGCAGATCTGAAGAGCCTCCATCTAGGATGAAGCAGCCATCTAATTCTCCTTAGTTTTCAATGATTCCTCAACTGATGAGTTGCTTCGTAAAAAAGACCCACCCTGTTGCAGCAAAGAAAGTTTTCTTTTGCACAAAGTCATCATCTAGGCTGTACATTCATGTATATCTAGTGTAAATGGGTGGGTGAGAAAGTTTCAGAACTTTTTGATGTGAAGGGTCAAATTAATAAGATTGATTACAAATAAGGATTAAAGACGTTATCATAAGAAAAATAAATAGGAATTTTGGCTAAAAGACATGGTTGGATAATAATTAATGATAAAATTGACTATTTATGATGGCCATAATGAAGACAAAGGTTGGATGTACTTCTTTTGAATAGATAACGCTGGCATGAACTTTTGGATCACTAGTAATTCATCTTACTCTCTCTGACAGGTTTATTTGAATCTTGTGTAGGACTTTGAAGAACTTTTAAAATGGAGCTAAGTGTTCTTTATTCATCAGATATTCTATTACCTAAATATAAGCACACCTACGTTTTTTCCCTTTGCTAACCACCACCTTTTTCAAACGAACCCATGGTACTTCCAGCGTACTCAAGTCCACAGTAGCAAGTAAGCTGGTTTATACAAGTTGATGTGGCTCAATTCTACAGTTAATCTTTCACATGTTGCTCGGAATAGTTTCTTGGGAGAAAGTGTCACTTGTAGGCTGGCAGAGAAGTACATTTCTTCTGAGAGGTTTTGAAAGACATTTCTGGAGACTTTCTGATCTATTTGTAATCTTGTTATGCGTTATAATTTGCCTCTTGGACGGAAATAGGTCTGGGACTTTCTAATGCCTTTACTGTCTATACACAAACCTACAATCTATTTGATGACTTCACTGAAAAGAGAATTTTTTTCTAATTTTTCCTACAACAGGAATAGTTAACTTTCCAGGAATCACTTTTTTCTATCATGTACTCACATTATATATAGTAATAAAAAAAATCAATAATGTTAGAAAAGAGAATACTGTTGCCCGTCTACTCACCTACAGTTTTCCAATAATAATCATTCATATGTGTGGATATATGCTCCATTGGAACAGTAGATTTTTGTGTTTGTTCCATATTTTTAATTGGACGTGCTCTTTCTGATAAATCAGGTACACGATATGAATCACGATAATTTGTACTATCTGAAAATGGTGTTTGACTTTCTAGATATTTATGAGCTGGTTTACAACTAGTTGGTGGTCTCGAACTAGAGGGAGAGAGGGAGAGAGAGAAACAGGGAACACAGATATTGCATATTAATGATGAGTTGATTTCCATTTAATTCCCTGGTGAACTCATAAAATATCATCCGCATAACTTCATCCGCCGGTAACCACCCCTTTTCCTGATGTGGCAGGCTTGTGATATGAACTGGCAAATTGACTATCACATAAAGAGATGATGAGTCGAAGTTGAAAAAGCGGCCTCATTTATAGGAGATTATGAACTGTGAGTGTTGGAGCCTGCTTTTATTGTGTAACGCTGAGATAAGAATAGAGTTTGATCACTGTTTGGCAGAGTATAGCTGCATCATAGAATACATTTTCAAGTATTGGTTTGTAGGGAGTTGGTTGATTGGCTACAGGATCTCATCATGAGCTGAGACTGGTCAGAGAACCACTGGAAAACCTAGGAGTACTGGACAGCTGTTCCGTTAGCCTAGTTTAGGACTCTTCATCAGTAGGTACCTACCAATGTTTGAATGTCAATGAGATGTTCACAAGCGACTGGTCCTATTCAGGTAGGTAGTTACATGTAGTTCTAGTGGGAATTCGTGACCAGTAGGGTACAGCAGGTCAGGTGTGCGGACAAATGCTCACCAATGATGACATTGGCTAGTGGTCACGCTATATGGTGAACTGGCAGAAGCTGGAATTCATGTGCTGGCCATTGGATCAGGTGCCATTGGCTTGATGGTCTACGAGCTAGCTGGCCTTGTAACCAGGAAGTCCTGTGTTCGAAGCCTGGTGGTGAGTGGATGCATACTGTGAAGAGTCCCAGATCAGGACGAAACAGCTGTCTGGCAGTACTCCCTTGTGGTTTTCCAATGTCTCTCTAAATCTATCTGGTAAAAAGCCCATAGTGATATGGTTTTATTTACTAATGATGTTTCAAGCACAGTTTTTTTCCTCACAATCATTTCGAGGGACCGAATTCTATATTGTCAGACCCCAAACACCCTCTCTATACGCAGGTCTCCCCTTGCATTTCATCTGGTAGAACTATAAGCGACTATAGGAGGCTATATGCCAGGACTACCAAGTACAAAAACTCCACAATACCTTATCTCGCACAGCTGTTGTGTGATGAGAAAACTGTTAGGTATGACACGATCAACTTACTGCGGCACTCTAACAAATAGGTCCCATTAGTCTTTGTTTTCCTTTCTGTGTTACTATTATATTTTTGTTCACATCTTCTATTACACACTAATTTTATATTTCATATCCTGTGGTGCATTGTTTAAGTATGTGAATGCAATGCTGTTCTTTTTTAATTCTTTTATTTTTCTTTTTTCTTTTGTTGTTGTTGCTTTTTATTTTTAAAATCTTATAAAAATTTATGAGATAATTAGATGCAATATTGTAATGCACGCTGAATATTCCATACCTGTACCACAAATACTGTTTGGAATAAAGCTATTATTATTATTAAACAACTTTCGAAGTTTCTTTTCGTATAATTCCATTATTTCTTATCTCTGGAATTTTGTTTAGGCATCATATACCCCTACTTGCGGTATTGGTGTTGATTCATTTCTATGTGGCATGTGTTAGACGTAGACTCAATGAACAAAGATACGGTGATCAACCTCCTTCTCTCTCCCCACCTCCCTGTTTTACTTTTCAGAAGTGTAGCTCTGCCCCACTCAGTTGTGTATGCGTGCTTTTGTGTGTTAGTGCGTACATTGTGACCACTGAGTTTTTCTCTAAACTACTCATCTTCGTGGGGTCAGTCATGATACATTTGGCTACCTCGAAACAACTGATGTGACCTTTGTTAGTGACCTCACAATCATTGCAAAGTCTTTTGTAGGTTATATTGCATCTTCTTTTCGTAAGGTCAAATGCCACCCTAACTCCTTCTTTACTAAGAATCTTTTATAGGGTTTCAGACATCCTCTCCTTTTATGGTAGAATTACTGTAGATGCCTGCAGTCAGTAGTTCCACTATTATTTTTCCTTTACTTTTGAGCTGTTTTTGATTTTCTTGGTGAATTTTATAGGATAGTTAGTTATTTAATAACAACGCCTCTTCTATCTGTTTCATTTCATTATTTAGGCTTTCTGATGTATTACTTAGACTTATTGTCCAGTTTGTTAGAAACTTGACTAATTCTGCCTTTACAGATAATGAAAGAGTCGGATTAAAGTCCAAAATTCTATTTGTCATTAATCTCTCGTACTGTTGGTCTATGCCCTTAATTCTGTGCCGATATTAACAGCTATATTTAGCATATGAATTGATTTTATCTTTTTCAAATGCTGCCTACTAAGTGATATTTGATCAATATTTAGTCTGTCTGCCTATCACATAATATACTATTGTTATTATTTATTATCATTCCCTTGGGTTCCTAGTGAAACATAGGGCTTCAACAACACATCTCCTTTTTGTTTTGTTTTCTGCTGTCTTCTTCAGTCAGGTCAACGATTGACCATAATCTCTCATCTCCTCTTCTCACGATCTCCTCCATATCGCCCTTGCATTAAAAATCTATTCGACGCTTCCTATTTGGATTCTGTTCGAGGGTCTGGTGATGGCGCGGTGTCATTCGACGGACTGCCTAGTCCATTTTCATTTTCTCCTACATATCTGTTGGGTAGTCGGCTCTCGCCAGTTGGTTTGTCCCAATGAAGAGCTACTTGTTGCCGATTCTTTCTGGCCGGCCATTTGATCTTCAGTATGGAGCCAGCCACTGAACTAGACAGCTGTTGATAAAAGTCTGCAACAGGCTGTTGGAAATCCTTTTTGTGACTCACACGCAGTGCAAGTTTCTGACCCGTATAGAAGGACCAACTTGACATTTATGTTGAAAATGCGAACCGTATTCCTTATGCTGAGTCAGTCCAGAAGATTTCCAAACTGGTTTCAGGTTGATGAAGGCGTATCTTACCTTTCCGATTCTGACTGCCATTAACATCTTCATCCGTTCCACCTGTAGTTGAAACGATGCTGGCTGCCTAGATAAGTGAAGGAGGTAACCTCTGTTAAATTTCTCCCGTTGAAGTTGTGTGATTGTTGCTGGTTGCTGTTGTCGGTGGTTGTTGGTTATCTTCATCACCTCTGTCTCCACTTTCTCTATGTTCACCTGGTGTCCTATCTTCACTGTCTACCTCGCCACGCCTCTTCAGCCAGTTTGCTGCTTTTTGCCTACAAGTCTTCAGGTTTGTATGACACTAGATAATCTCGATATAATCTACGAAATTCAGATCTTCTAGAGTTTTCTTACCGGTTGTTCACCGTTTTCCTGTCTCTTTACTCCCAACAGTCTGATATATAATCCAGTCCACCACAATTAGGAATTTGATCGTGGTTGAAAATAGACAGCCAGTTAGCTTGTCTTACTCCTGTATGCACTTCGAACGCCTCACTGAGTGAGTTTTCCGTTGTACATCACCTAACACGTAGCGCTGTCATATAACTGTTGAATGAGGTTGGTAAGGACTTGAGGTACGCCGTAGTGTTGAAATAGTTTCCAAATTACTTCTCGATCAGCGCTGTCTGTCAAAGGCTTTTTAGAAATCGATGAAGGAAGTTGAGGTCGAGACAGGTTTGACTTCCATTCTATGCTTTGTTCTGTGATGATGATGCGTAGAGTTGCAATTTAATCAGCACATGATTTGCTTTTGGATATTGGATCGATATTCAGTCTATTGATTGATTTTTCTATCTTTTTAAATCTCAGTATCGTGTTATAGTAATTGTCATCGCAAATTGTCGTTATGACAGTACGCCCACAAATCTACTAGTTAGGAAGTTCATCAGTGCAAGAGACTCATAAACTACTCAGTTGCATTGACGGTCACATCACTATTAGAAACAGTGGTGTTATACAAGAAAAATCTGGAAGTTATGCAAAGCTTTAACATGACTATGAACAATAATAAATTGTGCTGGGAATATTATCAATAAATAAATGATACTGTGCCATTCTGTGTTTATTATCAAATGCACTTATTCTCCGATGATTGGATTGTGTAGCCTTCCATTTGTGACTGTCATCAATCTGTCATTAAAAAATCCAACATTACTAAGAGAACCATTGAAAATCAAGGGACCGCATCCCTTACACAACTGCTGAAGAATTCTAAACAGTGACGAAACCGCTGTCCAGTGCTCCTTGGTGATTTCCAATGATTCCCTAACTAGTGTGAGCTCGTGTAACTGTTAAACAACCTGTTCTTCCCAACCATATCCTGTCATAATTAGAATATATAGGGCGTAAGATCTCATCCAACAGTTGTACGACAATGCTGCATGCCAGGTAATCCACAAGGGGAAACTTACGGTATCCCTCGAAGTAAAGACGGGAGTAACACAAGGCTGCCTACTATCGCCAATGATTAATTTCCTGATTGCAGTAGATTGGATAATGCGACAAACAGCGGCGGACAATGAGGAAACAGGCATAAAATTTACTCACACAAAAAACTTCGAGGATCTGGACTTCGCCGATGATATATGTCTGATTTCCGACAAACGCTGGAAGATATGCAAGCGAAAAGCAACAAGTTGGCCATAGAAGAAGCATCAAAGATAGGACTTCAGGTGAACATAGAGAAAACAGAGGTTGGTGATGAAGATTCCTGGGCAAGAACAACAACAACAGACAACGATCAGCATAAATGGGAGGAACCTGAGAGAAACAACCTCCTTCACCTACCTACCTGAGAAGCATCGCTTCAACTACAGGCGGAACTGACAAGGATATCAAAGCAAGAATCGGAAAAGCAAGACAAGCTCTCACTACTCTCAAGTCTGTGTTGAGATCAACAGCACTCAAAAATAAGATCCGGATATTCAACTCCAATGTGAAATCTGTGTTACTTACTAAACGGATCAGAGACTTGCACTGCGCATCATAAAGAGCATCTCAAACAAACTACAAACCTTCATTAACAGTTGTCTCCGCTCAATACTCAAGATCAGATGGCCGGCCCGAAAAGATCAGCAATAGGGATCTCTGGGAGCAAACCAACCAGGAACCGATTGTGAAACAATTAGGCAGGAAGAAATGGAGATGGATTAGCCATACTCTGAGGAAACCAACCATCAATTGACATCACTAGACAAGCCATCGCTCGAGTGGAACCCGAAAGGGAAGCGGCGAGTTGGTCGTCAGTGTGGGGGTGACTTGGAGGACGTCATGTGAAGAGGAGATGAAAGAGTGTGGGCGGACTTGGAGCCAGGTGAAGACTCTGTTAGAGAACTGAACGTAATGGAGACGCGCTGCTGAAGCCCTATGTTCCTGTAGGAATTAAAGGAAATAATAATAATAATAGGGCGTAATAAAATGGGAACCCACTATACCATATTTTCAAGGAAGATTTTATCTATGCAGAATGGAATCAATCAGGGTGTCACTGAAAATCAAGAAGTTTTGGAAAGATGCCTCATTCTAACTTGAAACACTTCAGATGTTGAACTCAACACCAACAGGTTATGAAATGAACATACTTAGTATTCAGGTAAGGGGTTAATATCCAGTACCTCATGGATTCTAAACTCGTTCGGTTATCAAACATCAAACCGTTCTGACCTTTAAAACTTGGAATTCATAAATTTAATTCCCATAACCAACTGTGCTATCAGGTAAATGACTGTGAACCTTGATGAATATCTGGCCGAATTCCTATGCCTTACGATAACCTTTCAATCAAATGAAATGACTCTGAATTGCCCAAATAAATAACCGTTGAGTAAAGCTTTAAGCTGAATAATCTGCGAGCTCACCTTGTAACCGGAAGGTCTTGATATCATAACTTGGTGAGTAAGTATCGCTGAAGAGTATCAATAACTAGGACGAAACAGAAGTCTAGCACTCCCTGGAAGTCTTCAAGGGTTCTCGAAATAATGTTAACTTGTGACTAAACCTGTGACCACCAATCAACACTTAGTAGCACATGTGTTTATGTAATTACATTCTTATGGATCACAAAAGAATCGAATAGAATTATGTAATTTCTGTAGTAGATAGCATGTTGATTAGCACCACTAAGTGCGAAATCTCAGTGTTTAGAATTTCGTTTCAAAGTGACTACTAACATGAAAGTTACTTTTGTGATAATAAGTAAAATAATATTAGTAGTAGCAATAGTATTTACTCACTCATAAGCGATATAATCAGACGTGTAAGTTGCCATTCCACTGAAAGGTGCATTCGATTTGGGCATATTCGATTCTCTGCACACGGCTAGTTCACGTTTTTCTAATTTCCATGGTCTATAGTCAGCTATAAAAATGAGAATAAATAAATAAAACGTAGAGTATGTGAGTTCCTTCAAGGTTGCAGATACGCCTTGCTGACTGGTGAGTGCCAACTACCACGACACCTAGGTCGTGCAAGGTTTCCTGTGACCGATCGCCTTCAACCATCTAATATCATCAAAGTTAACTCCATTATGGATAGAATTTTATTTTGATAAAATCACACAGTGTTGTTATACAGGAATATTTACTAATTATGACCACGTTTCAAGCACAATTTATTGCTACTGCTCATAATCTCATATCAAGGCGGTACTCACTCACACAACTTTCTTGCTTCATTTATATACATGAGTAAAACTGATGATTAGACATTTGAATAAAATCAATATAAGATAGAGTACATTCAGAAATAATAATATGAGTGTTATCAATCAAATACAATCAGATGGGAAATAAGATGATTTTTTTGTTTTTTTGATTTACAGCTTGATGCCATACCGTATTCTCAGTACAAGTATGGAATTTTCAGCATGGATATCGGTAGCCCGAATTTCGCAGGCCGACCATAGATATCGGGTGTGCGCCGGCAGGGGATCGAACCCCGGACCATGTGCATGGTCGGCGAGAGTCCTAACCACTGTGCCACCGAGGCACAAATGACTTGTCAGAATTCAAATGAACTGTCGTCAAGATTTGATAGAACAGTTCTAAAATATTTGGGCGCTGAGTGAGAAGTAGACATTTGTAAAAAATTACATTTGTAAAATCTCAGCGAGATTGAAATGATTAATTCCAACGTTTCCTGTGTTCGGCAATCTGGTCCGAACTTCTTCAGGGAAATTAATCGAAATTAACATAACAGAGGTTTATATATAAAAGGAACATCACTTGTTTTCAAAAACTTTCTCCAATCATGAGTCAGTCAACAAGTATAATAAACAAAATTTTATCAGCTGTGATCAAAATTTGACCTCGAACTTACAAATATTGTTCTACCTTTGTTAAACACATTAAACAGAGTGTGTATGTGTGTGTGTGTGTAGGTAAACAGTTGTAAAACATTTGTTAACGTCTCCATAAGAAGATATGGACAGTCGAGAATTTTGACGAAGTATTTGTAAGTCCGAGGTCAAATTTTGATCACAGCTGATAAAATCTTGTTTATCATACTTGTTGAATGACTCATGATTGGACAAGGTTTTATAAAAACAAGTGATGTTCCTTTTATATATAAACCTCTGTTATGTTAATTTCGATTAATTTCCCTGAAGAAGTTCGGACCAGATTGCCGAACGCAGGAGACGTTGGAATTACTCATTTCAATCTCGCTGAGATTTTACAAATATAATTTTTTACAAACTTGTTAGAATGTTTTAATGTGAATTGAATTGAATACCATCCAAGTTTATCTCTGACAGTCCCATCGTCAATCGTTAATAAGAATTTACAATAGATATATTATATTTGATTGGTTGAGTTGACATCTATTAGAGAACCATTGGAAAACCACCAGGGAGTATTGGACAGCCAGCTGTTTCTGTTGTCCTAGTTTGGGACTCTTTATCAGTACACACCCACTCACCACAGGGGTTCGAATCCAGGACCTCCTGGTTACAAGGCTAGCGAGTTCGTAGACCATCAAGCCACTGGCACCCGCCAATCCAATGAATCCTAACTTCTGCCAATTAATGACATAGCGCAAGCACTTCGCAATGTCTTCTTCAATGAGTAACTGTCCTCACCTTCAACCTGCTGCATCCTACTGGTCACAGCTTCCCAACAGAACCCAAAGTAATTTCCCACCTGAATACAGCCAGTCACTAGTGAGCATCAGATGAATATTCAAGTATTGATGGTGTACGAGCTCGCTAGCCTTGTAACCAGAAGGTTGTGGGTTCAAACCCTGGCGGCGATTGGGGATATACTGCTGAAGAGTCCCAAACTAGGACGGAGGAAACAGCTGGCTGTCCAGTACTTCCATGTTTCCAGTGGATCTCTAACCAATGTCAGATCATGGTGAAATCCTCCAACCAGTCAGACAAAATCCCTGCGAAGCCAATTCTTGAAAATATTTTACATTTCTTTTGGCTGAACAAAGGAAGAGGGAGTGAATATGTTTGTAAGCTACTCCTCCTCACAAAAGCCATTGATATCAAGAGACTTCAACCTAATTTCTGTATACACAAAGATAGTGTGATTAATTTCGCACTACGTGGTGAACCACATGTCTCTATTCTGGTTCTTCCTTTTTTCGAATCACAGTTCTATCGTTTCAATAGTAACTCTTTGAGCTGAACTCATCACTAACCTTCCAATTTACTTCATTATTTGCTTACGTAATAATTTTGACTTCTGTTTTTACGAGTTGATTACGGATTGATATCAGTTGGAGAACCATTGAAAACCAGCATTGGATTACTGGAAAGTTGTTTCATCCTAGTTTGGGAATCATCGGCAGTATGCGCCCACTGCTAGGGCTCGAAACCAGGACCTTCTGGTTACAAGGCAAGCTCGTAGGTTATTCATCCACTGGAACCTGATTCCTCGATGGCCAGCCCATGAATTCTAACTTCTACCACTTCATGATTTAGCGCGACCCCAACCAATGTCATCCGTGATATCAGACTGCAATCAACTCGTAAAAGCAAAACTAATCCTCACAAACCAACTATAGGAAACTTCTGTTTACCATTTGTTTGCGCTGTTATCCTCTCCTTCCTGGGGTTCGTTCTCTCATGTTAGTTGTGAACAAATTATAGTCATTAGATTGTTAATTATCTTGTATTCTTATCTCTTGATCGACACTTATGCCTTTTGAGTTGAAATAATCATAACATACATCAAGTTTTTAGAGTGATGAAAAATCGTGAAATAAAAAGAAAAGCATGGACTCTTTTTCCCCTGTAAATATGTTCGTTCTCACTGTGTTCAAACTAATCAAAGGAACTACTGATTGTATGAAATACCAAGAGATATTTGATTGGGAAACCGCAGGTTTTAAGAAGAATTATAGTTTGTGAAGGCAATTTTTTTTCAAGTGTTGGTTGACGATATTTAACAACCAAGCCCACAGTCTCTCATCTCCTCCCCGCACAATCTCCTCCATGTCACCCTTGGACCCATATCAAACTTGTCGTTTCCCATTTACGTTCCAATCCAGGGCCTGACTAGTACGTGATGACATTTGATGGTCTCTTCAGCTTGTGCTCAAGTCCATCTCCACTTTCTTTTATATATATCTATTGAGCAATAAGTTCTTGGTTAGTTTGTTGCCATAGTTTCATGTCGCTGACTCTTTCCGGCCGTTCATTTGATCTTCACTATGGAGCCAGTGAAGCGAGCAGCTGTCGATAAATGTCTGCCTCGGCCTGTTAGAAATGCTTACTGTAACGCGTCAAGTTTCTGATCCATGTGGAAAAAGTGACCTAAGATTTATGTTGGAAATCCGAATCTTGTTCTTTATACTGAGCGTAGAAGATTTTCCAAACTGATTTCAGTGTTATATAGGTGCACGTTGGCTTTCCAACTCTGACTGGATTTGACATCTTCAGCCACGCTGTCGCCTCTAGTTGAAACGATGCTTCCTAGATAAGTGAATGAAGTAACCATTTCTAGACTGTCTAGTTAAGAAGAAGGAAAAGGGATATTTTAATATATCTATATTCAGAAAGAAAACCCACTCCAAAAAATATTTAGACTTAGGATCATCACACCCCATCAGCACAGAGGTATCAGTTGTTTCAAGTCCGCTTAGACGAGCACACCCTTTGGTAACATTAAATATGGTTAAAAAGGTATTCCAAAGACATGGTCCCCAACAGTTGTCATTCCATATAGAGCAGAGACGTCAGACGGTATCAGAAGAGTACTGATAAGCTCGACATCAGAGTTTGCTTCAAAACATCAGACACACTACAAAGCAAAGTCACCTGTATAAAAGACCAAATCTCTAAGGATTCTCTATCTAACTGTGTCTATACAATAAAATGCTTGGTATGTGATGCGATATACATCGGATAAACATCGCGAGAAATCAAGGTAATCAGAAAAAATGAACACCGTAGAGTATCTGTTCGACCACGGAGAAATAAATCCAGTTGAACTAGAAAAGCTTGAAAAATCATCAGTCATAGCTCGTCTACACGCTATAGAATCAGGTCACATAATTGACTTTGACAATATTGAAATAATCCAGAAAAATTCCAGGAATCACAAAGGACCTCTAACATCATCAGAAGCCAGCCATTCATATCAAATGGAATCCAAATTGTCTGATGAATAAGAATGATGGACTAAAATAGAACATGACCTGCTTACAAGACACCCCATTCCTCCATGAAATGACAAAGTAAACACGGATATCATAAGCAATTTAAATATGTAAACACAACACGCTGGTTTTATAATTTTAAACGCTTATCAAATCCAGCAATCTGAGCACATGGTTTTGTTATCTTTACCAATTGGCCAACTTGAAAATTACTCTATTCTGATGAACGATGATTAAGTTGTCGTATATAAGTTGAGATTTTGTAAATTCTTGTTTAATAATACTGCTATGATAAAGCTATTAGCAGTAACATTGAATAGCGAAACGTCAGTAAAGCCAACAATATCGTTTTGTTCTCCATTCATTCATTTAGAAATACAAAAAACCTTTATTATAATGAATATCACACATACCCAGTGCCTTAATATTTTTCAAATTTTAAAAAGTGAACTTGGTTTGGACGTGTATAGTGAAAATACGTGTAATTCATAAAATTCTAGATACTAACAGTTTGAACAGACATGAAGGTGTGATATTAGCTGGTGCATAGGAAATTCTTATTAATAAATAAAAAATGGATATGTATCACTAATTATTAATACTTGGTCAGAATTCTCGACTGTCCATATCTTCTTATGGAAACGTTAAGAAATGTTTTACAACTGTTTACCTACACACACACACACATACACACTCTGTTTAATGTGTTTAAAAAAGGTAGACCAATATTTATAAGTCCGGAGTCAAATTTTGATCACAGCTCATAAAAAATTTTGTTTATTATACTTTTTGAATGACTCATGATTGGACAAAGTTTTTAAAAACAAGTGATGTTCCTCTGTTATGTTAATTTTGATTAATTTCCCTGAAGAAGTTCGGACCAGATTACCGAACACAGGAAACATTGGAATTAATCATTTCAATCTCGCTGAGATTTTACAAATATAATTTTTTACAAATAGACAAATATACTCAGTCATGAAACCATCCTCTGTCTGAAAACCAGCAGGGAGTATTGGACAGCTGTTTCTCCCGTCCTAGTTTGGGACTCTTCATCAGTACGCACCCACCGGGGTTCGAACCCAGGACCTTCTGGTTAAAAGGCGGGCTCGTAGACCATTAAGCCATTGGGATCCGATCCAATGGCCAGTCCATGAATTCACCATATAGCGCGACCGCTAACTGAAGAGTCCCGAACTAGGACGAAACAACTGTCCAGTACTCCCTGACTGGTTTTCCAATGGTTCTCTAACCAATGTCAGCTCATAATGAAATCCTCCATCCAATCAAACGAAATCCATACAAACGAATACTTGAGCATCCACTATCTTCCTACTTCTGCTTCTTTATAAATGCGTCAGTGTCCTTGTGTTTGTGCGTATGCATTCATGCGTCTTCTTTATTCTTTTAGTCATTTTTATTTTCGATTAATATGCACATATTCGACCTGAAAGTCACGCTTATTTTCAGTTTCTATTTTTCTAAAATTTTTGTTTTATACATATCAGTTGCTATTCCTAGTGTTTTCTTATCACGCTTCTGTGAATGCATATCATTGAGATAAAATGGCTCTGCATAGTTCTTCTTCGTTCAACCAAATCGCTTGATTAATTTTAACAAAGTGAGAGGACGTACATATTTCCATATATATATATATATATATAACATCTATTTATTTCAGGCGAAACGCCATAATTTTGAAAGACAAGATATGAATGCAAGACAGTTAATTATCTAATAACAAACAGAGTTTACAGGATTTCATCATGGGCTGATATGAGTTAGAGGATCATTGGAAAACTACTACGGAGTACTGGACAGCCACCTGTTTCCGCACCCACCCATCGGGGTTCGAACCCAGGACCTTCTGGCTACAAGGCTAGCGATCTCGTACACCATTCATCAGTCACTAGGACCCGACTCAATGGCCAGCCCATGAATTCTAACTTCTGCCAATTCATGATATAGCGCGACTGGCACTAGCGAATATCTTTGGTGGCGAGTAGTATCACCCCCGACCTGCTCTAACCTGCTGGTTACGACTTCCCAGTAGAACTCCAGGGAACTACCTATCTGAATAGGACCAGTCTCTATTTTATAATTTTAATTCATTGTTCACCCACACCCTCCTGAAATCCCTACCAAACTGTGTGTACACTAACTCTGTTGTCCTATCTTGTAATTTGTCTCTAGTCCATCCTTGTTTCCAAGAGAAATTTGAATTCCATCCGTTTGTCAAATTACTATATAACTAGTTACTCTTCTAACACTAACTTATTATGCTGCAAAACTTGTTTTCCTTAACACCACTAAGCGAGTGCTTCAACAATCTGGGAAAAACCAGTCGCCAATCCTCAACACTTTAAACTACGGCGTAATTCAATTTGAGTGTCTTTGTGGAAGCAAATACATAGGTCGTACAGAAAGGCGATTGTCTACTCGCATCATGATGGAGCATCTGCCAAAGTGGTTGTAAACAGCTGAGTGCAAAGTGACAAAATCTTCAATGACAAAGCGTCTTGTGGATTACGGACATGATATCGACGCGGTCAAGTCATTCACTATTGCCAGTCAGCGGACAGAGAAACAAGAAGATGCTTGCAATTGCAGAGGCTGGTGCAATTCGAGTTTATAAACCAGGTCTCTGTGTACAAAAGGAGATGGTCGTGACTCTGAATCTACCATGGTAATACATTTTACTTATAATTCTACCTCTTATTATTGTTATCATTCTTGACTCATTTAAAACTATTCTTTATCAGTAGGATTATCTTAACTCACTTCAACACTATTATTATTGTTATTATTATTATAACTATTACTATTGATATTACTCTGTTTGCAATTCTTGTTATATTCTCTAATGTCTAATTGTTTTTCTAAGTGATGTAATTGAAGCATAATGCAATTTATCTCTCATACTCCCTCTCCCCTTATCTATTTGAACATGACCTGGAAAAACTTTCGCACCTGTCTTTCTGCATGACTAATTCAATGTAGTTTATTTGCTTATCAGTCTTATATCTCCCAATGTAATTTCAAAAGTGTATATGTTTTCGTGTATGTAGAGTATTCATCTGACGAGCTCTACCGAAATTTGATGAATTCATTAAATCCTGCTTTATTAAGTTTTATTACTTTTTTTAAAAATTCCTATCGGAAAATAAATGTTTTCAAATAATTGTCTACTTATATCGTCTTTGAAATTATGTTGCTTATACTCTCTATCTATAGCTTGAAATCTTTGTAAAAAGGGCATGTTCAGACACCATTTTGTAACATATAATTGATTTATTTAAAATGTAGGCAGTTAAAGAGAGAGAATCCACGAAATAAAACCAGCTCGCATTATCTTGCAAATATTTTTGTTCCTTCTGTATTCAAACGAATACAGGGAACCAGCTGTATGAAAAATTTGTGGTTAGGGTGGTAACGAATATTAGTAACAATTACGTAGTTATATAAGAGAACATCAGACTTTAGTGTGGGAGAGTTCAATCGAAAAGATGATTTAATACGGTGAGTAGAACTCAGACACACCAAACACCTGAATGGTACAGGTCACTGAGTCGACGCCCTAACATCATTCCAAATAATTAACAGACAAAATAACTCAAGTCTTCTTCAGTTTGCTGTGGCTATCGCAATAAAATGGCTGAAACCTGACCTATGTGGCCAAAAGCAGTTTGTTCACTGGACTTCAGTTACCCTGGTGATTCATACCTTAGTAACTTTTTGTTTCCTGATTTCATTAAGCTATCTTTTCAACCCTCTTCCCCTTATTTTCCGTGTAACTTCCACAAGAGATAATTTTTCGTGACCTTTTGAGTACTACTCACTGTATTACATTATCATGCTTCCATTTGACCTCTCCCCCTTCTCTTATTTAACTACGTAAGTGTTACTAACTTTTGTTACCACCCTAACAACAAATAAAACAGTTCGTTTTTCAAGTATTAGTTGGAGGATTTCATCATGAGCTGACATCAGTTGGAGAACCATTGGAAAACCTGCCGCGGGTACTGGACAGCCAGCTGTTTCTGTCGTCCTAGTTTGGGATTCTTCAGCAGTGCGCACCCACCGGGGTATATATATATGCCAGGCCTTCATCAACCTGAAATCAATTTGGAAATCTTCGGCACCGAGCATAAACAACTAAATTCTTATTTTCACTTTTTTTTATCCTTCACGTTCCCCAGTGGAACATAGGGCTTCAAGCTAGTGGCTTGAAGTTTCTGTAGCAGTGTTTATTTTACAGGATGGGGTTCCTAACCTCATGCCCAACCTTTCCTCTTCACCAGAATTATTTCTGGCTTAGCGAGGTAAAGGAGTACGTCGGCCGGGAATCGATCTCCGGACCATGTGCATGGTCGGCGAGCGTCCTAACCACTATGCCACCGACGCACTTATTTTCACTAGCAATGTTAAATCATTTCTTCCATATAGGTCAAAAGGTTGGCAGTTTTTCAACAGGCCGATTCAGACTTTCATCAGCAGTTGCCTTCTCTTGTTCCATACTGTGGTCAGAAGGTTCCAAGGTTCCAAGAAACTCTTGGAACGAGTCAATCAAGAAGCCATTACTCAAAAGGCATTCAAAAGAAAGTGAAGATGGATTGGACACATTCTCAGGAGACCGTTGGATGACACCGTGTACCAGGCAGTCCCTCAAGTGGATTCCGAATGGTAAACGAAGAGCTGAGCATCACATCGGGGGTGGCATGGAGGAGGTTATGTGAGTCGGAGATGAAACCCTATGGACAATCGTGAGGTTCGCTAAAGAAGACCGCAAAGAACACGGCAAAATGGAGATGTGCTGCTGAAGCCCCATATAAACCGCTCGGAATCCAAGGGAATAATAATTCAATAAATATGTTAGTACAAAATCGACATAATAAATTATGAAACGATATACATATTTATACTTACTCGTATAAGTGGCTTCTCCATCGAATTTCGCTGTTGTACCTTTCCTGTTGACTGGTTTTACTGGTACAGCTGATTCACCATGTTTACCTAACATAAAATTTAAAAAAAAAATAGCAGCATTAAAAGTATTGATTCTCAGGGATTTAGTTGCAAGACGAGCTCGCAGACCGTCCAGCCAATGGGACAGAATCAAGTCACCTATCGAATGCAACTTCTGCCGTTTTCGTGATGTATTACGCGACTGCCAACCAGTTTCATCGACTAGTCCCATTGTGCGTAAAATTTATTTTGATAAAGTCTCACAGTGTTATACAGTAATATTTACTGGTGACGTTTCAATTGACAGTAGTATTTTCCATATTTCCGGTATGAATGACGAATAATTTCTATTGCACGTGTTGAGTGTACATTCTATGAACAAAGATTCAGTAATTAACCTTTCTCTCTCTCTCTACCCACCTACCTATGTTAATTTTTAGAATTCTAACCCTGTCCTACCCTATGGCTTGGTAGTGTATTAATGCATGCAGTTCAATGCTGTGCTGAGTTTTTTTCTAAATTACTTATCTTCGTGGGATCAATCATTCTGACCTTAGCTAAATTCGTATGTTTTGATAATCTCACTACCCCGAATCTACTGGTCTCAAGGACCTATGTAGTTGACCTAACTCACAGTCACTGCAAGGTATTTTGTAAGTTATATTATTTTGTCTAATTGGGTCAACCTACATGGTCCTTTAACCTACAGAGCTTGTCCTACCTGAGTGAGTTTGTAGGTTTAAATGATACTCTAATTCCTGTTTCATTAAGAATCCTACCACCTAGGGTCTCAGACGTCCCCTACTTATATGGTGAAAACTGTAGATATCTTATTTTCTTTCTTATTTATGTTATCATTATTAGTTTCACCAACAAAATCTTGGAATTGACGCAGTCGAAACCATAATTTTTTTGAAAATAAAGAGGAATAAGAGGAGATCTGCTTTTTTCTTACGTAATAAAATGCTTAAGTGCACATATCTAACGCGATACACGCTGAGCTTCTTATCTATCGTTTGCAGCCATGCAGAGAAAAATATTTTTTAATGGTTGATAGAATAGTCAGATAGATGACTCCATTATTTCCTATTAGACAAGGAAGATTATTATTATTATTAAGCAGAATGGGAGATTATTTCTGAGAAGATCGTTGGAAAGTTGTAAACAGAGATAGATTGCAATGTAACAAAAATATTCATTCAGACATCTATAAAACACAAAATAATCGAGCAAAGAATATTCCTTTCGATAAATTCCTCTTCCTGGCTCTACAATTATATATATATGTTTATATACATGGAATATTCTAGAATAGTACTCAATAACAATATTGGTGTGCTTTTTAAATAATATCGATTTGTAAAGTAAGATCGCAATGGAATTACCACAATTCAAGAAAGATGCTTAAATTATCATAATAATAATAAAGATATAGTAGCAAATAGAATGTCAACTAAAATTAGGAAAATTTCACAAAAATTCTGGATTATTCAAACCTGGATGGCCAAGGTAATGATAATGTCTGAACCAACTTTTTTGGACGCACAAATTAGGCTGCTTAATATGGATCCCAGCAGCCAGACTCAGCAATATTTAGAAGTCGAACTCTTAAAGCTAAATTGAGATTCGTAGGTATGCGGTAAATGACCCTGAAAGCATGATTAACGTCAATCTTGTGTTCCGTCTCCACAAGATGAGACAGAATAGCACTGCGAATAGATTTTGTTTGTCCTTTGCTTAACCACGATGCAGGGTGATGTTCGGAAATTCGACGAGAAACACGCCTAATTGTACGGCCTATGCAATTAACTGGCTCACTCCACAGGAGCAGTTAAATTGGTATATACACATGCAAGAGGCGAATGTCTATTGATGAGACCATTTTTGGGGAGAGATTACATGGATATTCAAGTGGAACCTTAACAGAAAACGACAAGTTGAGCGTAGATCCGTGTATGCCATGGGGGAGATCGTGTGAGAAGATAATGGGTAGTTGTAGAGCCAACTAAAAGAAGTCACTACAAAAAAGTACAATAGAGATGTGCTTCTGAAGACCTGTACTCCATACGGAACAAAAGGGAATAGTCATTAAAAGAAATCGTGTAAAGTGTATAGGAAGCAGAGCTATACAGCAATCCTAGGAGGTGGCTAACGACCATGCAATCTTGAAAGGGATAAAATCAAACTGTTTTTATCGGACACTAATTAGTAACTAGTATGGTGTTTTTGATGTAGTTGTGTTCCCTGAGCTGGACAGTGTGTTTGCGAAGCTTTCATTGCCCTACTACGCAACATCTTCCTTCAGCGAATACACTTCAATTCGCTGAAGTGAACTTTTAGATTTCCCCACGAGTTTATTAGTCATCTCTCCTGGTGGGTAACCTTGAACGTGATTGGTTGTTTTCGTGTGTTTTCACATCTTCTAGGCTACTTGTACTTTTACTGATTGTTTCCTTGACGTGAACTTTGACCCTTTGTGTGTGAGATTTCCTTCCTCTCGATGTGTCTATTGATTGACGATTCACTGGAATACCAGACAGGCTTCTAAAAATTCTCTAGCATTCTTAGTGATTTGCCTGTCTAATATTTGGACGTTGTCTCAGTTGAATTGATGCCCGTGATAGTCTGTATGCAGTGAGGCGATATGAGGGAGTGGATGTCTTGTCATCATGGATACGAAGACGAAGAGGGTGTCCACTTTGGACAATGTAGTATTTTTCGCAGTCGCTGCAATTTATTTTGTAGAAGACGTTAGTTTTATCTTCTTTCGCCGTTGAATCTTTTGGTTGACATAGAGTTGAGTGAAGTGATTTTGTTGGTTTGTGTGAGACGTAAATTCCTAAAGGTTTGAAGAGTCTTGTAGTGATTTCTGAGATGTCCTTTACATATGGTGGGGCGATTTTCTTTGTGCCTTCCTTGTGGGACTTTGATTTACTAGTGTGGTGAGAGCTGTCTACTAGCCAAATTGGTAGACAGTAATTTGCGTCAATGTTTACATTCCCAAGATTTGTCGTGAGAAAATGTGAACAAAGATTGATTCAAAACCGACCACAGCAGACTTTGCGTAGGCGGATGCAGTTAACATATAGAGGATTTGACATTCAAGAAACAGTCACAAATAGATGAAAGATTAACTTTACGTGAGAAACAACCAATCGGAAGACTGTGTTTGTTTGCTTAAATATCCATAGTAATGTACATGAAAATATATAAATATGCGTTGATTTCCTTAATAAGTGATCTGTTGTCTGGCCCTTGTCTTTTGTTGTTACACTAGGGTGGCTGCTTGTGGGTAGATGTCTTTTGATGAAATTCCGTGGATATCCATTCTTTTGAAAGGTGTCCATGAGATATCTTTCTTCAATTTTCCTTAAGGTGGGAGTACTGCAATGAGTCCTGGCCCTCTTGAATAGTGTTTGTATACAACTCCTTTTGTGTGTTATTGGATTGTTGCTGTTATAATTCAGTATTTGGTCCGTGTGAGTTGATTTTCTATAAAATTGAGTTTCTAATTCCCCTGTGGTTGTTTGTTTGACGAAGACATCCAAAATTGGAATTTTATTCTCGGATTCCTCTTCTCGTTGAAGATGTTGTTTATTAAGTTGTGAGTTTTATTCAACTCGTTTCTTTCGGTTATTACGAATGTGTTATCTACGTAACGTATCCAAATTTTGGGTTTGATCTTTGGTAGGATTATGAGGGTGTGAAAACACACGAAAACAACCAATCACGTTCAAGGTTACCCACCAGGAGAGATGACTAATTAACTCGTGGAGAAATCTAAAAGCTCCCTTCAGCGAATTTATGTATGCGCTGAAAGAAGATGTTGCGTAGTAGGGCAGTGAAAGCTTCGCAAATAAACTGTCCAGCTCAGGGAACACAACTACATCAAAATCATCCACCTGAGCTACAAATCTTCTCCATCACAACTAGTACGGTGCGTCTAGTCCTTCTTTTATGCAGACTAAATTCTATCAGTCACGTTGGCAATGTGGCCATCACCATGCCATTAGGTGGCTCGTCATCACGGTTCACTTTGGATAGCTGATATTTGATGGTTGGAATCAGTCGGCCTTGAGGAAGCCTTGCGCGACCTAGGTTTCATGCTCGTTGGCACTCACCAATCAGTCAGTCAGTCAGCAAGGCGTATCTGCAACCTTTAAAGGAACTCATGTGTACATTCCGAGATTCGGACCTGCGTCACGCAGTGCCGCGTACAGTCAGTCAGAGACGTTGCAATGAGCTACAGTTTCTGAAAAACAGGAAGAGGGCAGCTGTGTCTTTCCTTACGTAATAAAATGGGTGGTTATACATATCTAATGCTATATACGTTTTAAAATTGTTTCCAGTATGATTACTTTACTAACACGATGCCTATTAGTATTGTTATTATTATTGTTTCCTTTAATTCTTAGAGGAACATAGAGCTTCAGCCGCACGTCTTGGTTCTCCACTAGCGTTTTCACATGCTTTCATCTCCTCTTCACATCACCTCCTCGTCCATGTCATTCTCGCACTGACGACCAACTCACCGCTTCCCATTCGGGTTCCACTCGAGCAATGGCCTGGCGTGTGATGTCACTTGATGGTTTGTTTTCTCAGATTATGGCCAATCCACCTCCATTTCTTCCTGCATATTTGTTGTGCAGTCGGTTCCTGGTTGGTTCGCTCATTGTCAGAGATACCTCCCTGTTGCTGATCTTTTCTGGCCGTCCATCCAATCTTGGGTATTTAGCGAAGACAGGTGTGGATAAAGGTCTGTAGATTGTTCGAAGTGCCCTTCGTGACGCGGCGCCAAGTCTCTGATCTGTACGCATAGTAAGTAGCACCGACTTCACATTGGAGTTGAAAATCCGGATCTTATTTTTCCTGGTGAAGTTGTGCTGTTGGTCTTCAGACACAGACTTAAGAGTAATGAAAGCTTGCCTTGCTTTCCCGATCCTCTCTGCCTTGATATTCCCATCAGTTCCGTTCGCCTGTAGTTTGAAACGATGCTTCCCAGGTAGTTAGGTGGGTAGGTAGGCAAAGAAGGTTGCTTCTTTCACATT